CCCCCCCCCCCCCTGCCAAAATAGTAATGACAAATTTGTCCTAAATACCCGCCATGCCCACTTCCTTTTCCAACCTAAACCTGAAATAGAGAAGGACTCTCCTCAATACTTCGCTCCATCGAGTTGATTGACGCCAGATAGCCCGGGTGATTGACCTCCCGTACAATAAAAATCGGTCAAGTGAGTGTCCCAGAAAGCAACGCACAAGAGTATCGGTTTAATTCGTAGCGAGAGGTAACAAAGTGATCTCCGAGAGAAAGAGCATCGAGGAGACGTCGCCCGCTTCCGGGCTCCGAGAAACGCCGAGTAATCCGAGGGATTACGAACGTCGACCCGTCACCCCCTCGACCCCTCCCGCGGCCCAGGATTAACCCCTTGAAACGTGCTCTCCAGGACACTCGAACGTAGCGCGAGAGACGGAAAAAGGGAGTAAAGGAGAATTTGAAAAACAGAAGACAACGGAAGAAATAATAAAGACAGGGTAAAGTGCAGAAGAGCTAGTTCCGGCGGGTGAAGGGGAGCGGGAAGTGGATGGGAAATAAATTAGGAGAGCCGTTCACACGGAAATGCCCGATATTGACCCAGTTGAGAAGTGTAGTTTTGTTTATAACGGGCCTGGCCGCGCAATCAGTTTTGATTGAGGGAACGAATTATCTTTACGAGGCAATTGACCCCGGGTCAGACGCCGAAATACTTGGGTAGGTAAGGTGAACAGATGAAGGGAATGGATGGATGGCAACGAATTTTGGTATACGATAGGTAATGGAGCGGAATTGTCATTCAATAAAAAATACTTTTTCATGACAAGACCCGGTAAACCGCGATTCTAACCTCGCTTCGCTCGGTTTGATCGCGGTTTACGGGCCTTCTGACGAAAAATTGCATTCATCACACGGTCCAAAAGTATTTTCTGACGAATGTGATTATAGCCACATTCGTACAAAGCCACATCCGTCAGAAAATACTTTGTGGACCTCGTGATGAAATAGTATATTTCGTAACGAGTGCAAAAAAGTGTTTTTTGGCGAGTGGAAGGTTTATATCACGAGCCGAAGGCGAGTGATATAATCCCACGAGCTAAAAAACATTTTTTCACGAGTTACGAACAATATTTTTCATCACAATGTGGCGGAAATTGGACTTTTAGGCACGCGGAGCGTGCCGAAAAGTTCACTTTTCGTCACGGCGTGATGAAATAGTATATTTCAGCACGTGTGGGGCAATTTCGTCTTTAACGTGTGTGGGGTTTACAGCATGAGCCGAAGGCGAGTGATGTAACCACACACGTTAAGGACGAAATTTCCCAACAAGTACTGAACAAAATTTTATGTCACGAAGCCTGACACCGGCTGAATTAGACACGAGACGCGAAGCGGCGAGTGTGTAATCCAGTCGGTTTCAGGCATGAGTGGCATAAATAACTATTATGGCACACTGTTGGAAATTTTTTGAAATTTGAGTAACAGATGCAGTTGAATTCGAAATATTCTGAACTTTAATTCAATTTCAAACGAAATTGCTCATGGAATTTCTGATTCATCTTGAAATTCAATAAAATTAAGTTTTTGATGATGAATGATCATGACAATTTTGATTTACAAAAGTATCGTGAAAATTAAGCAATACATTCAATTGAATTTTCGACAGATTGAAAATTCAGAAGAAAAGTTGTCTGAATTTTCACGATCTTCAGTAATTCTCATTATCCTGCAAACCTGAGAAATCAAATTTTATTGAAGAATCAAGAAAATTGACTGATTTATTAATAATAAAATCAAGGGAAATTCCATGTAAATTATTCATTGGCAAAAATTTGAAGATTTTTTATTTGAACTTTAAAGAAAATTTTTTAACAGTGTACACTGTTAGAAATTTATTGAAATTTCATGGAAGATATTGTAGTAAATCTGATGCGAGTGACATTGAATCGAATTTAGGGAAAAAATGGTTATGAAATTTCAAGTTTTAAGTAGAATCCACGGAAGTTCATGAGTTATCAGTGGAAGTGAGATGGAAATTTCATAACTTGATTGAATTTTCAGTGGAGCATGAATATTGAGAAACAAAATGACATGAATTTTCAATTTTTCCCTGAATTTTCACAGAATAATTGACTTGAAAAATCAAGTATTTTATTGATTTCCAGATCATTTCACCAGAAAATCAATGGAATATTTGATTTTTCACGAGCTTGAACATGATAAAAATTTCTTCAATTTGGCACGAAAATTTTTTAACAGTGCATAAGTAAAAAAAGGGCAGTTTTTTCTCACCAACATCATAAAATATCATACGATATGTAGCGTGATTACATAGACCTCGCCTTCGGCTCGGCCTGTAACCCTTACACTCGTCAATAACAACTTTTTTTCACTTGTATCGTAGTAAACTATTTGCAGAGGCTTACAATACGTTGGGTGAAAAAAACGCATCCGTGGATGTGAAAATTACTGTTTCCGGGGCAGTAGTATTTCCCGCGCCGGTAGGGAATTTCTTTCGTGTGGAAAACATGGGGACGGACGATAGGGAAATTTTGCTAGAGTAGGTTTAGTTAAAAAATCATTCTCTGTGACGAAAAAATTTCTACACATGTGTGAATCATTACGCAACATTGAGCATTTATTCACGTTCATGGGATCATTTTCAATGGAGTAAACGGTGAATTTTAAACAGCCGAAAAAAGCGTTATCTTGAGATGTATAATCGCAAATTGATACTTGAAATTCTAAAAAAAAAAAAAATTGAAATTACCATTAAAATTAAAGTGAAAATATAAATTTCAAACATTTCGAAATCTCAATATGCGATTTTCAAAAGTTTCAAGTTCACTGTGAAAATTTTACACCGAAATTTCTGGTAGAAGTCTTGGGAACTTCTCACAATTAATATTTCCACTGGAATCTCAAGGGATTTTATTATTTAAAATGAATAATTGTGGAAAAAATCCGTGGGAACTGTAAATTTTCGTTCAATTATTCCGAAAAAATTAATGAAAAATCAGAAAAATTCCTGGAATTCCGTGAATTTTAAAGGAATTGCCTGAAAATGCATCGCGATTATAAAAGTGAATATTCATTTTGGGCTGAGAATTCACGTAAATCTAGGAATTTCAAATTACGACTTTAAATGAAGACTTTAAAAAATCTTATTTCAACACCTTTGAGATCTGAAAAGAATTTTTTATTTATTGCTAAAAATGTTAAATATTCAAAACACTTGAACACTTCAACAAAAATGAAATAAGCTGTTCAACCGCACTTCGACCCCCCCCCTAAAAATGTCAAAACAAAGACAACCCCAAAATACCCAAAGAGCCGGGTCTAATCTACAAATTACCAGAGTTGCCATCGCCGAAGATGAGGCAGATGAAAAACAATAAACAGCCGAATGAAGCTGAAGCCTGAGAGCCATGGGGCAGAGGGAATTATCGATTTTGTAGGCGCTCTGTTCTGTTAATCAAAAAGCGATCGTTCGCTTTTCGATATCGAGGGGGCTCAAGGCCGTCGCGATAAGCGAGTCGTTGGACAAAACGCGCCTACGTCGGTGTTTTGTGGTTGAGGCGAACGAACGACTGTGGCACAGAATAGGGAAATAAATAATCGGAGGTATATATCTCCGTGTGTAGACGTCCGTCGAGGGAAACAATATCCAACGGATTGGAACGTGTGGCCTGAATATGTCTGAGGATGAACAGACTCACTGGTGTATTTATTTCGGTGGACTGTCCTAGTGTTGAGGAGTGAAACTGTAACTCGGATTGTAATTGAAACGGGGGATAAGTTTTAATCGAAAACGGAGGGTGGGGGAGTCGGAGGGCTATTGTCAAGGGCTATGCTGTGCCTCGATATGAAATTGGTGTCGAGATTGAGGGGTTTGTCCACGAATTCGTCGGCCGGCGGAGCAAACTCCAACGCGGGGACAGGGACTCTGTCGATTTCCAGTCATTCGGGGGAGAAGCAGAGGCGGAGGTCCAGTCGGGGGAGCAACAGCAATGCTAGTCCGTCTGTCAGTGATCGCGAGAGCGATGAGGACATTCCCAGTGTACCCAGGATTGTCAGGGATCGCTCGAGATCGGTCTGCATGCCCGTGCTCACCAGCTCGCAGATGAGGCATCTACATCGACGTGCCAGCCATCATGTGTATGTTTTTTTGAGGTTTTTGGCTAGGTTTAAGGAGACATGGAAGACATATTTGTGATAATTTTGTCAGCTTTGGGATAATTTTAGGGAAGAATTGTGTTATTTTTAGCGATATTATCCTGAAATTTCGACAAGTTTTGGATTTTTATAACCTATGTTTTTAATTTTAGTTAATTTTTAGGGGAATTCACCGGGGATTTTTCTATCCTGAATTTTAGGGATTTTGAGGCATTTTACAGTGAGAAAAATTCTCATTTCGATGGCAAATTTAGGATCAATTAGGGTCAAAATTATTACTTATTGAATTTTAAGTTGTAAACAATACAATTATTATTGGGAATATTTTTTTTCAAGCTTCACTAGATTTAGGGTCAATGGTATTGCCGAGTTCCGTTATTTTTAGTGCTATAATCCTGAAAATTCGACAATTTTTTCCGATTTTTATAACTTTTGTTTTTAATTTTAGTTAATTTATCGTGGAATTCACCGAGGATTCTTCGATCCTGAGTTTTAGAGATTTTGCGATATTTTACAGTGAGAAAAATTCTCATTTCAATGGCCAATTTAAAGTCAAGAGTCTCTAAACATAAGAATAAATTGAACAACGGTCACTGATCAAATTTTTTATTTTTTATTTTAAACGATAAAATTATTCTGAAGAATTTCTTTTTCTCCATTCTATCCATCAAAAACTCGCTTTCAAGCTTCACTTCCCCCACTAAATCCCCAATCGCCCGAGAACTTTTTGCAAGAACCCCTCGCATGCGAATTTTCATCAATTTTTCCGCTAAACGTTCAATATCGCCTAGAGTGACAAAATACCTGCGCCCCATTCACCCGAAAAATTGAGTAAAAATCCTTTTAATTCAATCCCTGAAACATCGGTCTATGCTCTGATATTTTCCAGAAATTGCGGCTACCGCCGGAGGGGAGAATAATTTAAATAAAAAGCACGATAAAAACTTGTGAAAACACCTACTGTTTTCCTTAAAATTATCCTTCTCAAGAATTTTTTTCTAGCAATAGATGCAATTTTTGACGTTGGGAGAAGAACTGTTCAATTCTCGTTTATTTTTACCTCAATAGAAAATTTATTTTGCATATTTATATAAATTCCTCAAAATTAAAACTATTAACTTTAATTCAACTTAAATTTGTGCGATATCTCTAGTTATTTTGGCTTATTTTTCTGCGGCTATTCTGTTTTTTTAATTCAGAACATTTGCGTTTTTAAATTTGAATTAAATAAAATTCTCCATTTGAAATTTTTCTGTTCATCTCAACAGTAATTTTTATCCAGTGACAGTTTCACTAAAATTTCAAGGAGTTTCGTCACTGAAAATTTACAAATCAGGATGTCTGAAAAACAGCAATCAATAACTCCAATAATTATTTCCCACTTCCTGGCGAACAATTTTATCAGTATGAAAACACTTGTTTTTCTTCGTTAAAAAAAATTGCTTCACTTTTCCCTCGCCCTGGAATATCATTATGTTTCCCGTGGCGATAGTGCAGTAACAATCTCCTGCTTATTATTTTTTCAAATTCTAGATTAACAAAAAAGAGTCATTAAAGAATTGCGCAGTTCCTCCAAACCATTTTTCACGTTGAAAAAATACAAAATATCTAAAAAAAACAAATGATCGATGAAAAAGCGCCTTCAATCCTCTCTCACATTTGCATTCATCCATTAAAAATTCTCAAAGCAATAAAAGTTCGTTTGAGATCGTCAATCAACCTCACATATCCACAAATAATCGAAAAAAAATTCACACGTTAGTCAATACTTCGAAAAACTGAGTATAAATCCTTTTGGTTCAATCCACGACACTTCGCCCTCCGCTCTGATGTTTTTGAAGGGAGAATGTTCGACAAACAGAAATCAATAAACCCAATAATTATTCTCAACTTCCTGGCGAACAATGTTATCAGCACGAAAACACTTACTGTTTTTCTTGGTTTAAAAAAAATTGCTTCACGTTTCCCTCGCTCTGGAATATCATTACGTTCTCCGTGGCGATAGTGCACTAACAAACACCTGCTCATTGTTTTTACAAATTCTAGATTAACAAAAAAGAGTCATTAAAGAATTGCGCAGTTCCTCCAAACCATTTTTCATGTTGAAAAAATACAAAATAGCGAAAAAAACAAATAATCGATAAAAAAAGCGCCTTCAATCTTCTCTCGCATTGACACTCATCCATTAAAAATTCTCAAAGCAGTAAAAGTTCGTTTGAGACCGTCAATCAACCTCACATATCCACAAATAATCTAAAAAAAATTTACACGTTAGTCAATGCTTCGAAAAACTGAGTCTAAATCCTTTTGGTTCAATCCACGACACTTCGCCCTCCGCTCTGATGTTTTTGAAGGGAGAATGTTCGACAAACAGAAATCAATAAACCCAATAATTATTCTCAACTTCCTGGCGAACAATTTTATCAGCACGAAAACACTTACTGTTTTTCTTGGTTTAAAAAAAATTGCTTCACGTTTCCCTCGCTCTGGAATATCATTACGTTCTCCGTGGCGATAGTGCACTAACAAACACCTGCTCATTGTTTTTACAAATTCTAGATTAACAAAAAAGAGTCATTAAAGAATTGCGCAGTTCCTCCAAACCATTTTTCATGTTGAAAAAATACAAAATAGCGAAAAAAACAAATAATCGATAAAAAAAGCGCCTTCAATCTTCTCTCGCATTGACACTCATCCATTAAAAATTCTCAAAGCTGTGAAAGTTCATTTGGGACCGTCAATCACCATCAAATGACTACAATAATCTGAAAGCCCCACCACAAAAGTTAATAGCTTCATTATTTCCCCGGATTTCAATTAACATTTTCCCTCCGATTTAACGCATTCCATTTGTTCACTTCAACCGTTGACATTTCCCTTGTACTGCGCCCGACGTATTTATATTGACGCATTAATCATATTTCCATCAGTAGGTTGGTTTAATGTGGAAAAACCAGGGAGAGAGTTTTTCAATTTCATTCAACTCCCACTAAGCGAATTCCGTTCGCCTTTCATAGAAACAGTTTATGGGCTTGCTGATGAGCCACTCACATTGATGCGGCAATTACATGTACTCCAGTTGTTCTCATGAATATTTTAAGATGGAGAGAATAGTAATGGGGCTTTGAAGAATGCCCAAGTGCGACAGTCGCTGGAAAATCGCATTTCAGAGATTTTTATTTTTATTGTTGATTGAAAATTCTGGCTAGTGTTATTTTAATTACTCTAGTTTATTTCAGACAAGATGCACAGAGCTAAACATTTTTTGTGTGTTCGTTAAATTATTTCTGAATAATAAAAGATTGATGGATAATAATGCAGAATTGACAAGTTATTTAATTTTCGAATTATTCATTTCTTTCCAAATTGTCCCCCGAAAAATTATGTATTCCACGTGAGAATATTTGATGAAGTGAAACAGATTTACTTGAGGGATATTAACGAACTTGATAGAAGGAAATTTAATATCTTTCACAAAAATTAAATTTTTGTCGTGATCATCAGAAATATCCCTAGAAGAATCCCAACTGTTGGCAGCAAAAAATATAATCTATTGTACGATAATCATTTGGTCTGAGAGAACTCCATATGTTTATACCATAGAAAGAATACATTGACGAGGAAAGAATATTTTTTTCCCAAAAAAATTGTCCCCTCGAAATTATTAAGTTTTGCCAATGGCACAGTTTTCAGCAAGAAAATTGTAGTTTCCTCTTGAAATTATCGTTTGTTCCATGGAAATTATAAGTGTTTGTTGGACAAAGATATACACTACTCAATAAAATTCACTTGATAAAACCGGAGCCTCATATAATTCTCTGTAGAACGAATGTATTTACCCGGGAGACATATAAATGTCTCATGAGACCAATTACTACAACGAAAATTATCATGTTTCGGTGGAAACTTTATTTTTTGCCCACAAGTTAATTGATTCGACACGACAAAAGATCTCTTCAGGGAACGTATAATTTTTAGGAGGAACATCACTCAAATCAATCTAATCTATTATGAACAAAATGCACAGGTCCAGGAATTTTCCTTGTGCTTCATTAAAAAAATTTGTAAATAATAAAATAATAACGATCGATAATACTCTAGAATATTCTAAAAATTTTCCTCACCCAATTAATTAGACAAATTCATCATTAAAAATCTCCAAATTAATTATTTCATCACCGAAAACCTAATGCAGACGGCGCTTTTATTGAACGCAATTCAATTATGATCTCCGTTCGCATTGTGGGAACGATCTTATGCCAATGCATCCATCTCATTTTATTTCCCTCCATTCTTCACCGATAACAAGAGCCCGACAGACGTTTTCTCCGCGTATTTTCCAGTTTAAATCCGTTCACTTATTTAAATTCGCCTCCACCACTCCACCTCAATAATATCTCTCACTCACGCCGCATTTGTGGCACTTGCACCAACGTGTCATTCATCGTTAGTCGTCCATCCTATTTTTAGCGCCCATCCATTCAGGATAAAATTGTCATTCTCGAGAATTTTTTTCCTTTGAGAAATTTAGCAGTCTTACATTAACCTCGTTCCTCGTATTCTCTGAATAGTGATTTATTTTCGTTAGGGCGGATGACATTGAGAATTATATTGATAACTTCATCGCTGAATAATTGGTGAAAGACTATTGACTATTGCATTCTCCTGAATTTTTATTCCAATGGAGAATTTATTTTACGTGTTGATAAATATGTGATAATTTCAACTTATTCTGAGAAGATTTTAAGAAAATGTTGTTTTTTTAATTCAGAGCATTTGGATGCAGAAATTTGAATCGAACAAAGCTTTTTATTTAAAATTATTCTGTTCATTTCCGTTTATTTACAGGAAAATGTTTCAATTGCTGAGTATGAATAATTCATTCCGTCTTAAAAAATTAATTTTCAACTACTACAATTTTCATGTGAATCGATAAAATTTTTATTAATTGACATTTCCCTGGAATTTCAAGGAATTTCATC